TTTTTGATGAGTTTTTGCCATGAACTATGGACCCTGTAGTCCAGTGGGATTCGAGCCCTTTGATCCTGGGCACTCACATAAATTCAGAGTCATAAAACAACATTGGATTTGATTTTACTAGTGTGGCTGATGTGCCAGATTTGTAATGCAATCTTGTTTTTTCCCCTCCTCATTTTTGGGCCCGTCCACCATTGTTTTATAGCAAAAAGGAAAGGCGTTTCCATTTGTTTTTGGAAATCAAACTTCAAGATGGAGCAACTACTCTACAACGTAGGAAGTTCACATGAAAATAATGATACTCTATTATAGACATTGACATTAGAATCAATATTATTTTATAGGCTGAAAATAAAATATCAAAAAGAAAAACGCTTTTATGCATAAAAATAATTATGGATTCACTAAATAGGAGGGTTAGAAGATCATGTTGTTGGGAACTATAATACAAGTTCGAAGTAGGAAAAATAAGATCAGAGGTAACATTCATAAATTTCTAGCAGAGCACCTTGAACATAAACTTTAAATAACAGGAAGAAAATTCCCAGGTTGTTTAATACATCTTAGTTTTCAAATTTCATTCACCTAGAAAAAAAAAAACAACAACAAACCTGGTTTCTGTGAGAAAAGTAAAGGAAATATTCAATGAGACTTCATTTAACAAAAACACATGAAATAAATGTAACTTTGATATTTAACTAACGTCCTTTCCTAATCTTCTAATCATTTTCCTGTATATGTATCTGTACAATACAATAGTTCTATCATTTCTAATTCTAGAAGTGAAAGTTTTACTATTAAAGGTCTATGAGGGAACAAAAATGCAAATAATTTTTATGAAGGTCTATGTTACAGCAATCAAATTGGTCAATAGTGGGTCACAAATATTTATTTTTTATAGAGTAAAACATCTGTTTGGGCTCACTTAGAGAGATTGATGATATATTTTGTCTGTTCATTAGACCAGGAAATACTAATTTAAATTGGATAAATAATTTTTAGCAATTTCATTGTTCATAGATTACCTGAAGGCTGGAGACTTGCTCACCAAGATTATTTTGTGAATAACATGGGGCACAAAAGTCATGAGAAGCCTTAACACTTCTAATTTGAAGAGTTTCCATTAAATACACCAACGTCACTATTCTATGGACAATGCATCATGACATTTTCAACTGCGGTCTCTCAACCCATGCTTGCATACCCAGCAAACATTTCAGAGGTTGGTCCATCCAGAGAAATGTCATTCCAGCACATATTCGCCTCCTTGCTTTTTGGTGTGACTATATAAGATTAACACATATGAAACTGCTATTTTTTAAGTTAAAATATGTCAAATATCAGAAATTTCATATGGTTCAACTTATAAACTCCATAAAAATTTGAAAATAAACAGTCACCTGTTCTCTCAATTAATATTTTAAATTATGTTATTATAGCTATGTATTTGCAGCAGATATGGGTCATAGGGTGAGGATGTCTCTTGAAAATGCAAATCTGTTCATATTACACAGTCCTGTGCTCAGAATTTGTCAGCAGACTCTCACTGTTCTGAGAATAAAATTGGGAAATCTTAAGAAGACCAACACACACTTCCAGAATCCAGCCTCCTGTCCTATTTCAGTTTTTTTTGCAAACTGCAGTCCATGAACCATTCATGAGATAGCAAATTAACTTGTGCTTTTTCACCAGCATTTCTTTTAAAAAGGTTGGTCATATCAGAGGAAATCAGAGTAAACAAATTCTGTTTAATAAAATTATTATTTCTCATACACAGACACACACATGTAATCTGGTTTTCAATATAAAATGCAATTTTTTTTCTGGGATGAAGCTTACCAAGTTTGAAATACACTATTCCAGAGCCTCATCCCCAGCCTTTCTCCTCTCTGTCACTTACTGCACTGCAGGCACGTGAGTCTTTCTCAGTCCTCAAAACAGTCAAGCTCCTATTCACCTTAAGATCTCAGCTTAAATGTCACTTTCTAACATTATCCTTGCCTGACCTTTCATCTAAATTAAACCCTATCATTGCATCTCGTACTACGTATTTCTCCACAGCACTCATCTAATTATATTCACTGATGATTTTGTCAGTATCTGTCTCTCTAACTGGACTACAAGCTCCTGAAAGTAAGGACCATGTTTGGCTCTGCTCCCTCCAGCATCTGACACAGTGCCTGTCACGCACTACTTACTATATAGTGAATCAGTGAATGAGAGAGGCCTCTAAATTCCTTTTGATGATTTCATTCTTAGATAAAATACAAATGACCAATTTCATAAAGCATTGTTTTTCGATGGCTCTTCCCCTTTTGTCTTACAGAATGTGTGTGTGTGTGTATGTGTGTGTGTGTGTATCCATAAATACATCATGTATTGCTTCTGTAAATACATTAACCATTATGCCTATAAGTACAGATTTATATACACATATCTGTAAATGCTGTTCTGTGAAATGAGATAAGAGCAATTTTATTTTTCGTGTGTTTAAAGCAAAGCTCTGAACTGGAATGCTGTTTCAATCATCAAAAGAAAATCTACTTGGAGTTTTATTAAGAGAAAAAGGGTCAAGCTGACCTCCAGTGGTGAGATTGGGGAATGGCTTCTAAAACAATTATAAAATACCCAAGTTACCTTATCCCACAAACCCACACATACATGCAATATACCTATCACAATCAATACTTTAAATTGTATGTGTTCTATATATTTGCAACAGATAGGGGTCATGTGATACAGAGTATTAAAACAAAATAAACATAACTGAATCACAGAGACATGTAGAGCAGCTTCCAGAGACAGTAAAAGAAAGTGCCACTCATTTATGGCAATCACAAAATTTGACACTTAAAAATCTTAATTGAGAGATAAGATCTGAAATTTGCAAAATATATTAAAAGTAGATAAGTTCTAAATGCTAACAGTCATAGTAGCATATGGTCTAATATTAGCTAGTATTAAAAACTTAATTTAAGCTGCCTTATTTAAGTTGTTATTTAGCCTTTATGGTACAAATTTTATTACCCTAACTAAATGGCAAATCCTCTAAGTCCAGATTCCAGGGTATGTGCTAAGTATAGTATCTGGCATGTAGTAACAGGCAGCTAACTGTTAGCTGGTCTTGTTACCATCATTATTAAATGATGCTTTATTCCCTAGCATATCTCTCATATCTGACAGGTGGTCAATTAGTATTTGATTGCATAAAAGGTAAACAATAAAGAACAGGATTAAGTAAATAAAATTATACTTTAGTAAGTTAATCTTCACAGCAAAACAATATTGAAATACAACATCTTGCTTGCGGCCCCCAAATCTGTGCTGTAACTATTGGGGTGTTTTTATATATTTCAATGTTTCCTTCATAAAATCATGGCAGTATTAACATTTCCATTAACAGGCAGTAATGGAAATGAGAACAAATTTTTATAACAAAAAAAACATTGAAAACAATGCCCTTTGAAACATTAAGTATAACATTAACCACAGAGTGTTTTTCTCTTATATAGGTACATGGTTTATATTGGAAGAACTTCACCACCATAAAATACGCAACAGCCACTGACTTAAAGTGAACTAAACCTGCCACTCCTCTGAACAAATGCTGCAGTTACATTTATTGGTCATCTCCCACCTGTCACTGTACCTACAGTCCCATCCTTCACTACCACAACACTTACAGTCAGTCTCCTATCAAGCAAGTTATGATATCATCATGAACACTTTTCATATATGAAACTGAAGTTCAGAAAGATTTAAATAGTTTGCTCAAGACCACACATCCAGTAGGCAGTGGAGGCAGAATTCAAACTCAAGGAAGATTTCACATCCGTGCTTCGACTCTGCTGACCTGCCTAGAGTTACGCTGCATTTCTTTCAACAAATGGTTAGTTGCCTTCAATATACAGGTTCATTGTTCAAAATATTCTTCTCCTAAAGTCCATCACTTTCAAAGACTGATATTCTCCCCAGGGATGGATCAAAAACAAGGGTCAGTCCCAAAACAAGGCCACGTCATGAATATTCTCTAGGCAAGGACCTTCAAGTTATAAGAACTCCCAGAGGCAGTTTAGCACAGAAGTTAAGAGTGCCGCCTCATAGGCTTAGTATAATAACTCACTTAGTCCTCGTATATAAAGACTGGCACACAGTAAATGATCAATAAATACCAGCTATTATTGTTCGTATTCCTCCTCTAGGATCCAGAGCAAGCTAGAGTAAGTTGCAGTGAAATGGTCAAAGCATGCACATGCATACCTGTGTGCACACACACAAGACACAGTAAATTCACACTATGGATTCCAAAGCCCATATGAGGTTGGGCTTATTAGAAGAGGCTACAGGTTTATCATGCATGGTCACATCCTACAAAGAGGTGACAGCATAGGGAATAACCACATTGCCCCATGTGCTTAAAGAATCAGTAATGCTGGGACCTCTGCTGGAGAAGATAAAATTTAAGAACAGCTGAGGAACTTCCATGTTTAAATTGAAGAAGTCAATGAAGTAAGGAGCTGCCAAGATATATAGAAGTTTTGCCACAGTATTTTCTTACTTAATTTATGTTCTCAGAAATTTATTTCTGAGACTCAGGTTTCAAATCTCTAAGATGAACAGACAAATATCAAAATTATGGTGACAAATATTATTAGAGGCTCTTCCATAAACTGGGCACAGGACCAGTTCTAAGAAATGAAGTTGCAGACAGCAACCTCCTACCTGCTCCTTTCTTCTGCACTTAAGTAGGAAGAAGGGAAGAAGAGCTTGTCATTTCTGAAACCAGTGAAAGAAGAGGACTCTGTTATTACTCTTTCTTTTTCCCAACAACACACAAATGTCCTCACTGTTTTTTTATCACATAAGGAGCTTATATAGGATAAGAACTGGGGATGATCTGCAAAGGTCTTTGCCGCAGGATAAGAGGAAGAGGGTAAATGAAAAGTTAGAAAATGATTCTACTGGAGAAAGTGAATCAAATCAATTGAAAGGTGACAGTGGAAATGGACAGACTTAAAAACCAGACAACCCTGGTGAGTAAATTCACACTAACCAGCTGTGAAAGCTCAGGATGGCACTTCACTTCTCTGTCTCAGTTGATTAGAAATCATGTCTCCGACCATTCATTCTGAACAACAACAAAAAAGGCCCAGGAAGTTGGCTGTATGAAGATCGAGCTCTTTGCAGACGTCGTGCCTAAGACAGCCAAGAATTTTAGGCAGTTCTGCACTGGAGAATTCAGGAAAGATGGGGTTCCTATAGGATACAAAGGAAGCACTTTCCACAGGGTCATAAAGGATTTCATGATTTGGGGTGGAGATTTTGTTAATGGAGATGGTACTGGAGTTGCCAGTATGTACCGGGGACCATTTGCAGATGAAAATTTTAAACTTAGACACTCAGCCCCAGACCTGCTCTCCATGGCAAACAGTGGTCCCAGTACAAATGGCTGCCAGTTCTTTATCACCTGTTCTAAGTGTGATTGGCTGGATGGGAAGCACACAGTGTTTGGAAAAATCATGGATGGACTTCTAGTGATGAGAAAGATTGAGAATGTTCCCACAGGCCCCAACAATAAGCCCAAGCTGCCTGTGGTGATCTCACAGTGCAGAGAGATATAGTCCAGAGCACGACTGAAGCAGAACTCCACATCTCTGCCAGTGTAGGCCTGCCCCTTCTCTGGGGGATGCTCTTGAGTAAGATAACCTGCATTGGCCTCTGTGTTCGCTTCCTGGCCTGCTGTTGACCTGTTTGATCAAGAGAGTTTGGAAATATCACAGATTCAGAATCCAAGATGTTCCATGTTTTTCAACTGTAAACAAAGGGTTTTTTTTGTTGTTGTTGTTAAAAAAAGAAAGAAAGAAAAGAAAGAAATTATGTCTCCAAAGCACCGGGCAGCTGTGGCTGGCAGTGTTGGTCCTTCGTGTTCCATGTATAACTATGTTTATAACCATCTCCAATTGAGTCAGAACACAAACTGCACTCAGCATTTAAACCCTAAAAATCAAAAATGTTCTTCCTACCCCTTCCTAAAAATGCCCTGGAACATAGATCATACCTAATGTTTTGCCCTAAGAGCTCATGTTTCACTCACCCTTCCTGCCATGCTGCCCTCTCTATCCCATCAGCAGCTTCAAGGAAGGACAGTAAGAAAAAGGGAAAAAAAGAAAAAGAAAAGGAAAATGGGAAAGGAAAAGAAAGGCAAAAGTCCACAAAAGTCCAAAAGCTCAAGGGACCTTTGCTCGATGCACATGATACCATGGAAAAAGGTGGGCAACGACATTTTTACTCAGCCCTCCTATGCTCCAAAGCAGTCACCAACTCAGATGTCCACAGGGCCAGGCAATACACCTAAATAAGCAAAGGGACCTGGTTATAAGACAACAGGACATGTGGGGAAGTGTGGCAAGTTACAACATACATATGTGCTCTTCTACCATTAATCAAAGATGACTTTTAAAATGAAACTGTGCTGATCAAACAAACTTTCTAGGGTTGTGTTCGATTGTGTCACAAATTTAAGAACTCTGTGGCTCTCCTAATGCTACCTCAAAAACAGCCCTCTACCAAAACACTATGAATCATGAAGAAATTTCTAACAATATCCACATGGAACACTCAGCAGCCATTCATTCTATTTTAGCTAGTGGCCTAGTACTGATGCAGGTAACGGGGGATGAAAGGACCTCGAAGTCTTTGGGACTGAGTTGAGCCAGACACATAGAACCACTCCGTCCAGGCCAGAAGTAACAGAACTTCAGAACTGAAAGGAAACTTAGACCACCTAGCCCTGCAATCTTACTTTACAGCTGAAGAACCTATTATTCACCCAATGGTACAGGATTATACAAAACTCACAGAATTCTTGAATGAGGCAGAACAAGTCTGGAGAGAAGGAAGCGCTCCCCACAGCCTCTAACATACCTCACGTCCTCCTATCTTATGAAGAGTGAAGAAAGCAAAGGACATCATTCAAAAACTTACCTGTTCTAAAATCAGCCTATCATTTAAAGTTAAAAACTATTTAAAAAAGAGAAACTATCTTGGCCCACACAAGTGACTCCCATCCTGAGTTTCAGACTCAGTAGATATGATGGAGCTCATGGTACATGAAGAAGGTGTACAAAACATGCATCGGCTTCCATGATATAAATGAGTAATGCACACAGTCTTTGTTCTGCAACCAGCTTCCTTCCATTAGCAAGCACAGCTTGACATGATACCTGAATTATGTGGGGCAAGACAGCACCCTGCAGGCTGAGACAAAGGGCTCCAGGCTGCTAAGGCAGCTGGGGAATTAATTGCTTTGTGTTTTTCATCAAAATTCTATTCCAAATATATCTGCGGGCTTCTAGGTAGCCAGTGGCCTAAAAGGCATCTCAACACCAGTAAACCAGCAATTCTACTAAACTCACAATGTGGTCTCATAAATCCATTATGAAACAATTAATTAAACCATTTCTCAACATGTAAAATTTTTTCTTCTTTTTGGCATCTCAGCAATGAATAATACTAATATCAGAACTTAGGGGAATACCACAAGCGTTTAATGAAATCATATTTCATCTTTGTGAAAGTTTTGTTTATTGGTCTATAAAATATTCCCTTTCCCTCGCTGTAATCTCCAAGAATTAACAGATTTAAATATATTGTGTTGATAACAAAGAACATAACAAATGGAAAAGGCTCAGGATTTATGTGTCTATAAATTTATCTGGATCAGCTCAAGCGTAGTTTGTACCCAGTTTTGTTTCAACAGCAGCCATGTGTAACTCGTAGAAATGGGTCAGCGCAGTGAGTTGGAGATAGCAAAATAAGGAAACCTATGTTTCTCCTAATGGAGGCCAACATACCATCTGCTTCCCTTGGGGACAGCAAGGTACAGGGTAAGTTAATTTCCAGTTTGGCATCCATCGCTGGATCGTTTCACAGAGGGAGTGACCATGTTAGAAATGGGATTGCATTGCACAACGAGCAGGGGCCTGCCAGAGGCCATCACTCAGCCAACGCTCCCTCAGCTGAGGGCTACACATGTGACGAATGGGGTAGAAGGAAAAAGGTTCCTCTAAAGGAGATGTCACTGTTGGCTAGTTCTTTGTCTTCGATCCCACAACCCAAAGAACATTAGTTAAAAAAAGATAAAAACAATCTGTCATTTCCATGGCACCTACTTCCAAACTGCTTAAAGTGTTGGTCAAAAACAATATTCTTAAATTATCCAAAGCTGCTCAAAAGCCAGACAAGGGGTATGCAGGGTTTGTTTTTGTTTTTTCCCCCCTCTAACTTTCAAAATTGAGGAAGCAGAGAGCCAAGTAAGTCCTACCCATCCTACGCTCAATCTCCTCTCCTCTCAAAAAGGAGAACTGGGCCCCCTATAGATGTTTCCTTTACCTTTCTAAAGCCCTACCCCTTCACTGAGTCAGGCATCGGAAAAAGCCCTGGGAGGCTAGAGTGCACCATTCACACTATCTCTGAAAACCAGAACACCTTGTTCCACAGAACGGGGAGCAGAACTGAGAAAAAAACAAACAAACAAACAAAAAACCCTGGTTAGAAAGAAGAAACTATAAGAAAAAGTACAGGGTGTGTAAATAACAGGGACTTAGAGATTCTGAGTTAAATAGTTCTAAAGCTGAAAGTATAATGTGGTGGATAATGGAATTTTGGGGGGGGGGTGCTGCGGCCAATCATAAAATTCAAAGTTGCTATTAGAGATTATATGGCCTGGTCCCTTATTTTAGAAATTAGGAAACTACAAGCACACAATGGAGCAAAGACAGTCTCTTTAATAAATACCGTTGGGGGACCTGGACTGGTACATGCAAAGAAATGAAACTAGACTATCAACTTACACCATACACTAAAATAAACTCAAAATGGATAGAAGACTTAAACATAAGTTGTGATACCATAAAAAATCTTAGTGGAAAACATAGGCAGTAAAATTTCAGATATCTCACATAGCACATTTTTGCTCATATATCTCCTAGGGCAAGGAAAATAAAGGAAAAAATAAACAAATGGGACTACCTCAAATTAAAAAGCTTCTGCACAGTTAAGAAACCATGATTAAATGAAAAGAGAACCTACTATACGGGAGAACACATTTGCCAACGATACACAGAGTACAAGGGTTTAATCTCCAAAACATAAAGAATTCATTCAACTCAACACCCCAATTAAAAAATAGGCAAAGGATCAGACAACCCAATTAAAAAATGGGCAAAGAACCTGAATAGATGATTCTCCAAGAAGGACATACAGGTGGCCCATAGATATATGAAAAATGCTCAATATCACTAGCCATCAGAGAGATACAAATTAAAACCACAGTGAGATAGCACCTCACACCTGCCAAAATGGCTATGATTAATATATCAACAAACAAAAAGTGCTGGTGAGGATGCGGAGAAAAGGGAACCCTAGTGCAGACTTGTGCAGCCACTGTGGAAAATGGCATGGAATTTCCTCAAAAAATTAAAAATGGAACTACCTTTTGACTCAACATTTCCACTGCTGGGGCTATACCATAGGAATCCCAAAACACCAATTCAAAAGAACTTATGCACCCCTATGTTCATAGCAGCATTATTTACAATAGCCAAGAGCTGGAAACAGCCTAAGTGCCCATCAGTATAGGAGTGGATTAAAAAACTGTGGTACGTTTACACACTGGAATACTACATAGCCAGGAAAAAAGAAGGAATTCCTACCTTTTGCAATAGCATGGATGAAACTGGAGACTACTATGCTAAGTGAAATAAGCCACGCGGTGAAAGACAAATACCACATGATCTCACTTATAGGAAGAATCTAATGAACAAGACAAACTAATGAGCAAAACAGAACCAGAGGCATGGAATCATGGAACAGGCTAACAACTATAACAGGGGAGGAGGGGGGAAAAAAAAGAGGGTGAGGGATTAATCAAAGAACATATATGAAGGACCCATGGACATGGACAATGGCGTGGGGACTGACTGTGGAAGTGGGGGTGGGCTGGACAGAGGGGCACAAAAGGGGAAAAACTGGGACAGCTGTAACAGCATAAACAGTAATAAAAATAAGAGAGAAGTTAGGAAACTAAGCCCCAAAAAACCACTTGAAATTCACGTTTATCATGCCAAGCCTTAGACCTAAGAATTCACAACTTCTGACTCTAAATCTAATGTTCTTTCCATTAATGCTACACTGATTCTTGGAAGGAGGATAGGGTTCAAAGTCAGAAAGATCTAGGTTGGTTTAGATTCAGGTTCCCCTCTTACTAGTCCAGGACTTCTGACAAGTCAAGTCGCTCTCTGAGAGCCTCATGTTTTATCATCTTTAAAATGAAGATGAATATACTACTTTGCATGTATTTTTCTACATTTACGCTTTGTATTATTGATGTTCCTTCTCCTTCTCTCTCTGTCTCTCTTTCTGACTCCCTCCTTACTTCCTTCTTCCCTCCTTGTTCTCCTTCTCCCTTCCTCTCTCATCTGACTCTCCCTACTGTGTAAGGATGCAGCCTCTGTAAACCTGGAGGAAGGCTGTCACCAAGAAACTGACCCTGCAGGCACCCTGACCTCAGAATTCCAACCCGTCAGTCCAAAATTATGAAAAATAAATATTTGTTAAGCAAAAAGAAAAAATACTAATACTAAATGATTGGAACAGGTTGGCACACAGTATGGATTGGATTAAAAGTTATTTTTCAATCATAGGTTGTTACATAACAGCCTATGTATTCTTGTATCACTTTTGTAAAACACTTTGGTAGGTACTTTAAAAGATGTAGAGACAAACATCCACGCTGCCTGCAGGATGTCTAAGTCAGCAGATTAGTGAGCAGGACCTCAGTGGTATGAAAATGGCACAGACACCACTCAAGACTTTAATTTAAACTCGGGAAGTGGAATATACATTGAGATGATAAGATTCTATGAGTCGACATAGAGCTATATTCCCCCCCAAAAAAAAAAATGAGTTACCGGGAGAAAAAAAGAATTAATGTAGGAAACAAGTTGTATGGCTTTCTCTCTTGTAGTTCTTCTCTGTACATGGTAAAGCCCTAAAAGGGGAACCAGATATTTCTCAAACTTCTTTACCACGAAGACTTTTGGTCAAGAAGCATTTCAGAGGCTCGCTGTTCAGGGAAACAAGCCTCGGGAAACCTGGTTTAGATGTCTCTGATAGAGAGCACAGAGGCAGAAGAACAGGTGAAAGGTCTTGGGAAAAATCACCCTAAAAGAAGAAGTCAAATGTCCCAAGGAAGCCCTCAACCAAAAGAGCCCAAGGATCACTCTAAACTCAAGTTGCTTAATCATAAGGAGAATTGTGCAGAGAAAAAGCAGTGAGAAATAACACTGACTGAGCAATGTGCTACAAAACTAGTACCACTGCATGTACACTGTACCCAGCAGTCCTAAGGGAGGTAGCAGCAGCAGCAGCATGAGCATTGTTGTACAGATGTCAAAACTGAGAGAACAGAGTCCCGGTGAAGCGGATTCATTTCTTCATGTCACAGTACAAGGAGTTGAACTGTGTCCTGACTCAAAAACCTGAGATCTTTCACATTCTCATCATGCTTAAAATAATATCACACCTGATTCTCTGACTACAAAAAGGCAAAAGTTAAGCTTTACAGTCACACATCACATCTTGCAAACAGCTGTGGTGGTAATTTCTAAACCTTGCTCCTAAGCAAGCTCACAGAAATAACTATTCATACTGTGGGAGAATTGGTTTCATCACATGCTTTAGAAGGACAGGTCTGAACTAGGTTTCCACCCAGTGATCATGAACTCATGTAATGGCTACTACAGACAAAAATTTCTCAAATAAGTGAAAACCTGTAAAGGTAAGGTTTTAACTTTTCAAAAATAAAGTCAGAAACTTAGAGTTATGTAAAAGTGAAAAAAAACAAACAAACCAGATGATGCGAAGTATCATGAAGTGATCATAAACCCTCAAGGCACAGTTTGCTAAATGTTAAAGGGCACACTTAGACAAAAATAAAGAATTCTGCTGTGGTTATATTATAAATGACAGAAAATAGTGAAGCCACAGACAATGTTTGATCTGCCACCAGTCTCCTACTGGAGGTCTGAAAAGAAAAATCAGCAGGGTGCTTTGACTTTGTTTAGAAGGTATACAAACATAAGGCGCTGGAATTGATTCATTCAAGTCATCAATAAATCTTTGATTTTGAACTATAAGGGGAATCTGTATGTAAGTTCCTACACATTTTGAAAAGCTGATCCTGAGACCAAGCCCTTGTGCTCTTTCTATAGGACAGCATTCCACAAATGGCCAGCCTGAGATTAAACACTCTAGACTTCCCCATTTACAAGCCTTGGAACTCTGGGCTAAAAATGTCAACCTCCAACCAAATTATTTTAGGTGGTAAGGATCCCATTTGCAAGTCAGGGAACTGAACAATTAAGGTTCTCTGAATTTAGGCTCTCTGTTTATTGAATCATGTCATAGTATTAAACTCTATGAAAACATTCCAAAAAAGCTAAAAGTGCTACATATCAATTCTTGCATGTGGTGACAGAATTAATCACTTTTCCTGTATACTTTAACCATGGAATCCTTCTTATTCTAGAAAGGCATGTTGAAGAAGCCCTGAAACATATCTGACTTGTCTATGACCTGTAAGTGGAGAAAGAAAGCCAAAGAGGAAGTGGACGGCCGCCAATGGGAAGTTCCTACAAAGAAATGAACACTGAGACAGCAGTCCTCCCACCCACCATCTTCTACTGGTCCTGTGACAACAGATGCACCTTTGTTATTTGGTAAAACAAAGCAAGTAGAGAAGATATTTGGCGAGTGCCCACAAGCACTGCCAGTGTAGGCTACTGTCTGTTTTGTGTGCAGCTACTATTCTGACTGGCTGGAATTACTGCCAAAGCAGTTACTTTATTTTCTGCACCTTTCAGAGAATAAGGGTTAAAGCGTAAAGGAGCCAGGCAGGTGAGATGGCCCGGAGTGGGGACAGTGGCGACCTGGAGAACAAGTGTACCCGTTGAAGTGGTTACCGGCTACGCCATCCCTACAGGCTGAAGTCATACTGGAAAATAAGCCCACTGTTTCCAAATTTTCCTATTTTTTTTTTTTTAAGAAGCAGCTAGAAATCCCTGCATATTTTATAATATTTATTCTTAATTCCATCTTCGAAATGCTGCTTGCCCACAAAAAACCCCTCTAGAATGAGTTGCCAGCTTCCTATTGAGGGCTGCCTGTGGCTGCTAAAATAGTTCTAAACTACAGCCACGTGTAAAGGTTGGTACAACGCCCGGCCCTGGCGGCAGGACTGTGCCGTGGCAATCGGTTTCAACAATTAGGTAGAAATCAGAAACACTGGGCAAAAATGTTTTTTATAGCTTATTGAAAATAGCATTTGAGGAACAGGTCATTCTTTCAGAGATACTTAAAGAACACTTAAGAAAGATATAATTAGAACCGTTTTTTAACTTTTACTATTGTCAGTCATACCTTGGTCTGATTTTATTTTCTATAGAGATCATGATCCCAATATACTTTTTTCCTTTCCATTTACTCTTCTCTTTCCTTCTCCAACCTTTCCATTTTACCTCACACTAAAGTTTCCTCAGTTTGAGGTGGAAGATCATAGGACTTTTATGGTGATAGCACAAAATAATGTATGTAATTGTCTAAAACAATGCCCAGCTCAAAGTAAGAACTCCAAAGTCGTAAGCACCTTCAGTTACTATGAATATTATTGAGTGGTCAAAGTCCTCAACAGGGTTATCTACAGCTTTGGGAAAGCTAGTGCAAACTCTTAAAACTGAGCCGTTACATAAAATTTCTGCTGACAGAATCACTGGTACCTACCCTCGTTAGCAATCTGTTTCTTAAAAAATCCCCAGTTCAGCTCCTCTGAGACAGCTGAGAATCTTTTGCACAGAAGAACACAGATAAAGAAAGAGAGGTCTCTGTAGAGCATTTTGCAACAAAGGAGATAAGGGCCTCCACCTCTCTTTTTCCCCCAGGAGACAGAGGTACTTTTCCACTTTTTTGTTCCTTTGTGAAATAGATTCATTCCCTCCTTAACCCCAGTTGGGTGGGGTGGCTTGAATTCATGCACCGTATGCCTTATTTAATGATCTTTTTGCTATTTGCAATTGCTCCATCTAACACAAAGTCTCGGTTTTTTTAGAAGTGCATTATCACTTGTTCAAAACAATATCTGACCCACTATTTTATTAAATTAGCAAGTAATCAGTTAACACTAAGCACCAAGTTTCATTTTAATTTTGCTACTGTCCTCTCCTGAGGGACCGGATCAACCTAGCTGTCAGTAAACTAGAATCAGTGCCTGATTCAATATTTACTTATTTGCAATGAGGACTCTGAATCTTCCTGTTTCAGGCAAAAATAAGGGTTGCAAATTAGATGGTGGGATGAAGGAAATGATGCTCAGGCTCTCTGGGCTTCACCAAAGAGGATCAAGTCAGCAACTTCCAAGTACTCCCTGAGGATATGGAATAGATGGTTCCACACAACCCTTCTACCTTCTAGGGTCACTTCCTTAAGTGCCTTCATCTGGATGACATCATACTGCAGGCATGTGCTAACAGACAGACAAATACAAACGCATGCATGGTAGTAAGCCGAATCAAAAAGTTTACACAGAGCATAAAAAAAAAACAACAAAACTATTTAAATACTTCTGATAAACAGCAAAAGTCTAAGCACTCTATCATCTTACCTGCTTTACAAATGAAACCATCACTTTTCCAGATCAAATCATTTGCCCATTCTAATGCATTTGTGGTATTTTTTTTTAATAGAAACTGAATTCTATTAAAAAAAAGAGTCCGAGGCTTTCCTCCCCAGTGTAGACTTGGTGCTCATTGGCAGGTGCAAGCTGCAGGTGCTGTCTAGGTAAACACACCTTCGAAAGGGAAATACTTCCTTCAGCACGTGAGTAAACTAAGAGTCAGCCTCACATAACCAGTTCAACATAATCAAAGAGATATACCTGTAGGTTTTCAATTTCTTCTTTGTGTTCTCTCTTCAAGTGTAAAATAGCAGCTTGGTATTCTGTAAGATCACAAAAGAAGCCAATTACCAAGAAGCACAAATTTATACACAAAATTCAAAGGGGGCATCTTCAAGTTTCCAGAGGTGCTTGTACAAGTAAACTAAGTAAACAGACACCACAATTTGACATGAACTTGACAAGAGATGATGAATATTAAGACAAGACGAGTTGCTCAGAATAAAAGAGAAATTTCATTTAGCAAACCTTAAATTATAATAAGCCCCAAATTAGGCAGCTAGGATAGGGTTAAAAAAAAAAAGAGCATGATGAGTGTTGTAGATAAAGACAGGGTCAGAGTTTCTTTTCAAGGAGGGGTTGGAAGTTAAGGCCCCACAGAAAACAAATACAGATGTGTTAAGAACAGACACACAGGAAATAAAAGAAAACTTTCTATATGAGATCAGAGAATTTTATTTTTAACTTCCCCTCCACCCCCAAATAAATCTCCATTTTAATGCAAGGCTAAGCAAGCACTCAGGGCTGATTTTAATCTTTAGATCACTTCAGAAAGTCAAGACCGTTTGTCATTTGGGTGAGAGAATGTAGGGTGAGTTGAAGTTGAAAGGAGGACAAAAATAAATTTCTGGCCCAATTTAGTCTGAGTCTAATAATGTTTATTCCAACAATAAGTCCCAAGTGTACACAGGAACTCCAGCCAACCACTAAAACTACCACTCCCTGACGGAGCACGAAGCAGCTATGACAACTTTATTTCCAGCAATGCGCCTAAGGATGTGGGGTCAGAGAGCTACGCAGGCTGCAGAGAAGCACAAAGCAAAATGCTGTGAGAAAGCGCTTTTGTGGGATAAGCCAGATTTTTACAAATGCATTTGGTTTGTGATTATGAATAAGAAAAATGTCAGCTGGGTGTTATTTTAAAATGTATGAAAAGACAGGCTATTTCTTCAAGTGAATTTCAGCAGTCAGTCATGAGAGGCTAGGTTTCAATTCAAAAGTGGATTAGGGGAATCTCTGGTAAAGCCGTAACAGGGGAGAAGTGTTGCTGCTGATAATTACGACAAGTCACACTACTGCTCTCACAGCGAACACGGTCCACTGAGTTACGAATCCAGGAGCAAATTCTGAGGTTTCTCCCTCCAGGCCATATCCGGAATCAAGTCATTTCTCCCTGTTCCACAGCCGCCACTATGATCCAAGCCACCACCACCTTTTCCTTGAACCACGGCGGTAACCTGAAAAGGTTACCTGCTTTCACTCTTCCACCACCAAAACCTATTCTGCTCACAGCAGCCTGAATGATCTGTTGAAGGCGTGAACCAGGCCATGACCCATCTCTGGCTTTCTGCTGCACTTACAGTGAAATCAAAACTCCCTACCACTGCCCAAGGGCCCTCCGTGACCTGGCTCCTTCGTACCTCTCCCTGTCTTCCCCTTGCTCATCACACTCCAGGCACACTGGCTATCTTGCTATTCTTTGAATTAGTCAAGTCCTTTTCTACTTCAAAATCCTTACTAATATTGGGGACAATAATAATGGATTATATTTACTGAGCACTTACTATGTACCAGGTGTTATCTAAGTATTTCCTATAGTTGAACTCATTTCATCCCTACAATAATACTATGGTATAGGTAGATTTTCCTCCTTAAAGATGAAGAAACTGATGCAAAGCTCAGTAAGTTGCAGAGCTAGAAAAAATTCTACATTATGAATTATGTAGATATGTAGATATGAATTATGTAGAATATGAATTATGAATTACATAATTCAATGAGTGAACATATAAGTAAGCTGTGGTGTATATATCCATAGAATGGAATACTACTCAGTGATAATAAGAAATGAACTATTGATACATACATGAACACAGAAGAATCTCAAAGGCATTATGCAGCATGAAGGACATCAGTCTCAGAAGGCTAACTATTGTTTAATTCAGTTTATATGACATTCTGGAAAAGACAAAACTATAGAGATGAAGCACAGATCAGAGAAGTAGTGGCCAGAGGTTAGAGATGAGGGAAGGTTCACCTACAAAGAGTCAGCCCAAACAGGGACCTTTAGAGTGAGGTGACCATTTTTCTATCCTGATTATGATGGTGGTTACCTGAATCTATACAGGGGTTAAAAATTACAGAACTTGACCCCAAAAAGAAAAAGTTAATTCTATAGTATGTTAATTTTTAAAAATCTACATCAAACATTATACTTTCGATTGTTTTCCCTAGGAGGCGCAGTATAACATAAGGATATGTGTTACTACCACTTACAGTCATCATTTTCCTAAGGGTATTAACAGACCGAAGACAAGAACAGAAGAAAATAAACATGCTCATGCAAAGATGACAAACACACACATATATACAATACAGGGAAAAATAAAGCTATTATTCACTATGATAATATATTTAGAAGAATCCAAGATTCTACAGATAAAATATTAGAATTAATATGTGAATTTAGTAAAGTTGCTTGATATAAAATCAGTATACAAAAATCCTGATACCAGAAAGGGTATAAAAAAGAAACTTTAAGATATCATTCACAGTACTCCTAATTGTACAAAGTACTTAGAAAAAAACCTTAAAAAATATGCAAGACCTCATAAGAAACTAGAAATGTTATATTGAAATATATTACAAAGAAAGACATAGACAGAGAGTGAGCATGCCATGTTTTGGTAAGATGTGAATTTTCTCAAATTGATCTATAGAATCAATGCAATCCCATTCAACATTTCTAAGAGTTTTTGTTTTGCTTGAAATTCAGGAGCTCAATCTCAATATACAGTGAAGCTCAGAAGTGCAGAAAAACAATGAGCCAAGAAATTCTTGAAAAAATAAATAAAAGTAAGACCACCTAATAAGCATTATTTTTATCACACATAATTAAAGTGGTGTGGTACTGATACAGGGATAACAAATAGACAAAAGGAAGAGAGTAGAGAGCCCAGAAATATACTATGAGTTTATGGTCACAATATATGACAGAAGTAGCGTGGGAGACATTTGTTTACAGTAAGAACAGCCTTTTCAATAACTATAGATTGGAAAAAGTAGATAAACATAAAAGTGGACTCTAGCTTTATACCATATAATAATCTACTCTAAGTCGATTTAAGAACTAAATTATAAAAAATAAAAAATAAATGTTTTATAAGATAATACATCATAATTTTTTTAAAACTTCAGGATAGGAAAAAAGTAATGATTCAGACTGTTTTCCATATAAAAACTGATTAAATTTCACATTAAAAGTAAGAACTTCTTTTCGTATAAATACATCATAAAGAAAAAGAAAAGACAAGCCACAGAGGGGGAGAATATATACTTGAAACAAATAATCAAGGATCTAATATATATATATTTCCTACAAAATTATAGAAAATAAAAAATAGGCAGAAATGTCAATAAGTGCTCTAAAACAAGGACATACAAATAACAAATGAATTAAAAGGTGCTCATTCTCATTAGCAATTAGAAATATTTAAAGTCCAACAAAACTGAGTGTTGGTGAAGATGTGGAGCAATGGAAACCCTCATACACAAGTGGTAGGAGTATAAATTGGTACAATCACAATAGAAAACGTTTGGCATTTTCTAATAAACTGGAAAACACTAATACTCCCTACCGCACAATCCTAATCCTGGATACACATAAATGAAAAAAACCTATAAAAGAAAAGCAAATAATATTACCAAAAGTCAGGATAAGGGGCACCCAGGAGAGGAGAAACTGGGCTGGGTTAGGACTGAGCAAGGCAGCAGCACACGGGCATTCAATGAGAAGTTACCCTTGAACCTCTGTGCTTTCTGCCATTTTCTTTATGTATACCTAACATTACAACATAAGAAAAAAGACTGCTCTCGTTATATTTTTGTCAAATATCAACTAAAGAATATTATACAGGCACAAGAGAGTCTCTAGATTAATAAAACAAGACAATTAAGTAAGTGTGGGTCCTACAAATGCTGAGTCCTAACCCACACAATGACTAATAGCTAAACCTTAACCAATTCACAGCCTCTACGAAGTAGGCAAAGGGTAAGCGAAATCAACCTTTTTGCAAAACTGATGTCCCTAGGGAATAACATCTACATTCTAAACAGAAATTACAACAGAATAAACTTTGAAATGATTCATGTTGTGTAAATGTACCTGTAAGGGTGTGACAGATATAGTTATGACTAATTGACAGATTGATAAAGGAGATCACCACAACTCTAACACCCAGGAAATACTGATTCATCTCCTCCCTAAACAAATAGTTTAACCAGCAGTCCCAGTGTGACAGGTGGCAAGAAAACACATCCCCAATCCTAACAAGGATGACAAGACAGACCGCCTGGGCAACGTGGAGGAGCAAGAAGTTAGTGCCCACCCTTGAGGACTGCTCACTTTGAGGGCTCGCAGGAAAATGCTGGAAGAATATAAAGGTTACAAAACAATGAGTCAAAGTTAGGTTGGTGGTTTCCAGAGGTGTCTTCTAGCTGCGGTCCCCTCCCTCACATTTTTGGGGGCTTGCAAATGCCTTGGAGCAGACCCAGGTCTCAATGAGAAACTAAGGATGTTTTTGTTTGTTCAAAAGAAAACTTGATGGTGGTATTCAGTAGCTCTGGGGCTCTATAATTGTGTGAAAAGGAGGAATCAAGATTTTGAATATTGGGGCTTGAAAAGGGCAGATCTCTTTGAAGCCACAGTAGCCCCAATGGAAATTAACAAATGAATTCAAATAATCTAGCCCACAAAAAAGAAGCGTGAAGAATGTCTTTTAGGAATATAATACAATATATTAAGGACAGAAAAGGAAAAAGGATCTTGACTAGTGGGATTCAACATTTTGAGGAAAAATACATAAGAACATCTCTTCATAAAAATAAAGTTCTTTTTCAGTCAAGTATTTAGTTTAACTGGAAGGGACCACTTTTGCTGCACAAACCTTCCTTTTTGATCAGTCCACAACAAAACAGACTTTGTCTTCCAGTTCAGTAAGAGCAGAACTAAAGATGACCTAGTTAACAAGGGAGCACGTAGTAA